GTTTGTTGTTTTGTTTTTTTTTTTTTCTGTTGGAGGGGGGGAGTGCGCAAGCAAGTGGTGGAGTACGTGAGTGAGTAAGAATGCGATGTGTTTGTTGGCCTTCTTTCAGGTGCGGTGTTGAGGAGTCTTCGGATGTCAGTTGCTTCTTGTGTGCGGATTTTCCTGATCGGCTCTCCTGTGTTGGCACGCGTCGGCAGTGGAAGGACGTGCTTTTCCGAAGTCCTTAGTTGGATGCCTTTTCAGGCTTTCGTGCTAGGGTGTGAGAGTAGTTCATTGGTGTGCCAGGCCCACAGGATCCCGAATAAACCCAAACACAACCCTTCAAAACCTACAATTTCAGGGTTCCTTATTACGTTTAGGGTTTGGGTTTAGGGTTTAGGGTTTTTTCGATTTCCTTGTACAAAGTCCTCGAAAGGTAAGGAAAAGCACCAGAACCCTAGCCACTCACGGTGTGGAAGAGCCGAAGGTCGAATGATACTCTCCCCCCTTTAGGGTTCATAGCCTACCTCATAGCATAGGGTCCCAAGTACCTCTAACGACTTCCTTTTGAAGGCATCTTTAGGGTTATTGTGGGGGACACTTTCCCAAACCATAATACTTCTTCCTACTTTCTACAGGTATCTTGGATACCTACCTTAACCTAACCAAAGCCTGCCTTTTTTGCAGGGTCCCCATAAATTCTATATGAGGGTTTATAGTAAGTACCTAGAAACAAGCAGGGTATGACAGCTTCAAGTAAAGTCTCCATGGTAGTGCAGTTTTCTGGTGGACCAAGTTTATACTCCAGGTTCCTAACCATAAAAGCGGGTTATCACCAAAAAAGGAGCTGAAATGGAGACTCTAGGTAGCCTTAAACCACAACCTCCGAAATGCCTGACAACCATGCCTATCCTGCAGCCTATAATCTAGATCCGAAAGCGCTAACACCCAAACGATGCATAGCTAGCTCCTTAGACACTCAAAGGCTTGGTTGGGACTTTCGCCTCTTTACACTACCCATAGGCTCCTTAGTAGTTCCTTTTTGGGATTACCTTAGAGGGTTCTGCATATAAACCACACAAGAGGAACTACTTAAGAGCCTATGGGTACTCCTACCCCAATCCTCGAAGAGAATCGCGGCAAGGCTGCTGGATGCTCCTGCCCAACATGGAGGCTCGGGGCTCGGGCTCTTGGGTGGCGGGGATCATAGGAATCTTCAGCTTCAAGCCCAATAACCTCTTCATCACCATTCCTCCGTTGTCCGACTCCTAGTTAGGGTTTAGGGTTTAGGGCTTAGGGCTTAGGGTTTAGGGTTTAGGGTTTAGGGCCCTAGTCCCCTGTAGAACCTTTCGAGTTGCACATCCGCATGTTCTGAAACGTCCTGGCCTCTTCTCCGAGAGCTGCTTCAAACCCGTCTGATGCCTGCAAGCCTTCGAAGCGTTTTGCGGGCCTTCCAAACCTAAACGCCCTGAAGCCCCGAGATAGGCATCTGGGATCGCGTCTCGTAATCGCCCCGACTTGACACGATGTACTGCCGAGATAGATATAGATATAAATAGATAGAGAGAGAGAGAGAGAGAGATATATATATATATACATATGTATATATATATATACCAGCGGTCCCACTGCCAAGCAACCCAAACCATACCCTGACCCAACAATAGACTCGCAACCCTGGACTCTGGACTTAGGCTTACCATTCACAAAAGCCTTACCCAGATGCCCTGAAGCCTCTCTGTCTCTCTCGCTCTCTGTGTCTGTCTGTATGTCTGTCTGCCTGTCTCTATGTACTGTAGGTAGGTAGGTAGGTAGGGAGGGAGGGAGGGAGGGAGGGAGGTAGGGAGGTAGGGAGGTAGGGAGGTAGGGAGGTAGGGAGGTAGGGAGGTAGGGAGGTAGGGAGGTAGGTAGGTACGTATGTAGGTATGTATGTAGGTATGTATGTAGGTATGTAGGTGTACATAGAAAGAAAGATGGGTAGATAGATTGATTGTTAGATAGATAGATAGATAGATAGATAGACAGATAGATAGATAGATAGACTGGTTCCCAAAGCCTAAGCCCCCAACTTCGAACCCTAGACACTACAGATGTAGATATACATGTATTTACACACACAGCGTGCGTATTTACACATGTATGAATGTATATGTACACAGTTTATGTACGTGTATATATATATATATATGTATGTATATATATATATGTGTGTGTCTGTGTATGTATACATATACATATCATGAGTGTTTTCTCTGCAAATTACCCTCACCCCGGGCCCTGAACTCTGAGCTGCTTGCTGGATACCCAGGAGCCCAGACTTGGATGCGCGGCCGTGTCCTTGAATGGTCAGGCGAGCATGGGTTTAGGGTTTAGTTCGTTTAGGGGTTCAGGGCTTAGGGTTTAGGGTATAATATAGGGTTTTAGGGTTTAGGGGTTGGGGGTTTAGGGTTTAGGGTTTAGGGCATGGCATTCGTAAGCTTTGATTGGCTTAGGGTTTTGTGGCTGAGAGGGTGTCGCAAGGTCTAATGGGTGTATCGGGTTTTACGGGGTGGAGTTTTAACCAAAATTGTCGGTAGGACCGTATAATGCAGAAGCCAGGTAACCAACACTAAAACAGAGCTAGATTGGAGGGTATAGGAACGCTTTAGTCAAGTTTGGCATAGAGTGTAAGTGTGGGGGATTATGTAGTGGTACATACGCTGTACTTTGGGTGTTGGGCGCAAAGAGTCAAGCCAGGTTGGGGGGGTGATATCTCACTAACTATTCCCCCTTGCGCCGAGTAGAGCTCTTCTTAATTACACCCCCCATTCCCTTATAGAGCCTTATATATGCACTGTATTTCATGGTTTATACGGCTTGGGGCGATGAAAAAGACAATGGTAGTGGGCATGGTGATGCTTGGTTCTTGCGGGCTACCGCAGCTGTGGTGCCTCAGATTAGGCCTTACCCCACGGACCAGGTTGTCGGATTTGGTGACTTCGCGCACGGTTCCTCTTCGGAATGAAATATGCCGAGACGCCGCCGTAGGCCCATACCCAGGGCCTCCGCTGCCCCACCAGCAGAGCTACCCCCCTTGCCGGCCCCTCTGAAACGTTGTTGGAACCAAGTTTCATCAGACGTAGCAGCAGTTCGTAACGTATGTAGTTAGGAGGGGCCACGGAGACTCAAGTTTTGTAGGGATTCAAGCGCAACCCAGTCTCCACCAGTGTTTGGCGGGGGAGCATGGTCAGTAGATACGAGCGGCTGCATCACATCAACGCAGGCCAGCTGTGGGTTCCGAGCAGGGTGCGGGGCGGGGCAAAGGAAACTAAACCAGCAACCATACCCAAAGCCCTGAATCCAGACTGCCTGAACCTCGGGCCTGCAGGATTGGGGGCTGGTGAGGCGTAGAGCTGACGCCCTTGTGGCTGCAGCCGTTTCGGAGTTCATTCAAGCCCCAGCGCGCTAGGGTTGGCATTAGGAGTTTCACAGACTTTCGCTACCTGGCTCAATGGCTGCACGATGTCTGAAGTTGCCAAGGAGTACGACCTCTTAGATCCTGGTAAGTTCAAAGATTTCCTAACCGATGCCAACATCCAACTGGTGCGGGTGGAGTACCTGAGGGAAATATGTCGGATGGGGCAACTTTGGCCACGGCATCAAGAAGCTCAGAAGGCAACTTTTCTGGCTGAGAGTGGTATCTCACTCAAGGCCCTTGTAGCACGGGAGGAAATTGAGCAACTGACATTCGGAGCACAAGCTGCTGCCGCCGAGAATTTTGGGTCTGAGAAAGTCGTTCTTGGGAAATCAACAGTGGGCATTGTCTCGGTGTCGCACTGTTGGGAGTCGATGGAGCATCCGGATCCCTGGGGCAACCAGCTGCACACCCTTCTCAAGCAGATTGACAGGCCTCGTTTCGATGGGAAGAGCTTTATGCTCACAGAGCTGTGCATCACGTGATCCGGCTGGAAGAGCTCACATCCGAGATCCAAAAACAGTTGTCTCCAACCTCTGTCAACATTTACGACAGCGAGTCGGGCAAGATGCAGGCGCGCCCCGCCAACAAACTGAAACTGAACGATACACCGTACTTCCTGCGAGGCTGGTGCATTGCAGAGGTGCAGTGGACCGGTACCAGAAAAAAGGTCGACGGATTTGCGCCTATGAGCCCGTCAGACTTTCGAGCGCGTGTAGAGCGAGGGGAGCAGGGCCTTGCAGACGGCTTGTTTCTGAAATTCACACACCGCTCAGATGCGGAGCTTGTGATGCAGTTGCAAGAGAAGGTATGGGTTGAGCATGCAGTGAAGCGTACAGAGCTTGGTGCCATGAGATTGCCTCAGAGCGAGCTGCTAGTTCTCGCGGATGCGCTGCAGCATTTCGTTAACCTCCGGCGGTTAGTGCTGCAGCAGTGTCAATCCTTCGCAAAGGATGGTGCTGCGGCACTCGCCCATGGCATGACCTTCCTGAGGTACATTGAAGACTTTGGCGTGCAGGAAACCGAGATCGATGACGATTGTGTAGCAGCCCTCGCACAGGCATTTCGAGCATGCAGCAGTCTCACACGTATTTGGCTGACAAGGTCCCGCATTGGAGATGCGGGAGCTGCGGCCCTAGGTGCAGCGTTTGTGGACTGCAAGAATTTGGTGGATTTCGATTTGTCCGGGAACAACATCGGAGATGTTGGCACAGCTGCCTTGGACGCAGCCCGTCAGCAAACTCGAAAGAACCTGCAGAGAAGAATTCGTGAAGCAGGATGACTTACAAGCGCTCGCATAAGCCGATAAAAAGCTTCAATGAACACATTTAGGCATGAAACTAGCATTCTGGTTCTCCGACGTATCAACCCAGCAACTTGCGCACATTTCTGCTGCGTCGTATCTCTAATATTGGTCTCTAATTACATTCAGACAGAAACAAACCTAATTCGCCACCAATCCTCAAATATGATTGGTTTCTTAAGAACTTTATCTACTCGATTGGTCCGTATAAACACGGTCCGACGACTCGCCAATGTGATGTGTATAAAGTCCTTCATGTCCTGGAACTTTCTTAGTGCTGATTCATCCTCAACCTGGAACCCCATTACAGCCTCACAAAGCCACCGTCTACGAACCCCTAACTGCCCAGGTACCTACTATATAGGGTTTTAGGGGCTCTAGTGCCCTATATAGTAGGTACTTGGGGGGTTAGGGAACCATATTTGGCAAGGTCTACGTTTGTGGTGGATGTGGCCGGCGTGGGTCCCTCGCTACCGTGGATCGCTACAACTCAGCTGAGGGCCAATGGGAGGCAGGGTTTTAGGTTGAGGGGTTTAGGGTTTGGGGTTGAGGGGTTTAGGGTTGAGGAGTTTAGGGTTTAGGGTTTAGGGTTGAGGAGTTTAGGGGGTTTTGGGCTTGGGGCTTAGGTCAGGTCCAGGGCTCAGGGAACATCCAGCACGGCTCGCAGGCGTCCTGGTGACTTCTAACTCAGCTGAAGCATGAAACGCTCAGCACGCTAGTCTAACCCTGTAGTAATGGGTGGCTCAGTGTTTAGGATGTATGTCTTCGTTTGTCTGGCATCCATTACCAGACTTTGCCACCGACGGCACCGATGTCCGGTTGGAGCCCCTGGTTATGATGTCTTGGGGCAGTATTCCTGCTCAAACCTGCCAAAACCCTACAGGGTAGCCCTTACAGTAACCCAAAAGCAGCCGCCCTTGTAGCACTCTATACTGGTAGCAGTCCTTACATTACATCATATCCAACCCCAAACCCCAAACCCTAAACCCCCAAACCTAAGGCCTAAACCCCAAAACCCAAAACCCATAAACCCTAAACCCTACACCCCCAAGTCTCGAAGCCGTGGGGGAGGCCGTGCGCCCAATGCGGGATGCTCGCGAGCGATTCGCTGCAGCCTAGAGCCTAGCAAGTGGTCGGGTCTTGACTCGGCCATGGGATTTGGTTTCATAGTAGTAATAATAATAATGATAATAATAGATAAGACTAATAAGAGTACTAATAACAGTAAGAAACAAAAGCAATAATAACAATCAAAATAATAATGATAATGAGTGTTATTCTTATGAAGGATAACAACAAATAAGCTTCCACTAAGATATTACATTGATAAAATATATAAGACCGAGATTCGAAAGATGATGTGTCGCCTTCGTAATGTCATCATGAGACGTACTGTTTCCATCAGTGCCATTGTTGCCATTTCTTTGCAACATCCTCCGCATGAACGCCTCGACCTTAAACACCACCAGCAGCAGGAATCCTTCGTGATGCGACTCCTTTCTTCTCGTCTGCTGTTAGCTTTGTCGTCATTGGTGTCGCGGTCGGTGAGGCTTAGGGTAGTGTTGCTGCTGCTCCAGCTTCTGCTTGCTGCCGTCGCAGCCGTTGCGGGTGGGGTTTTGTTGCTATCGTCTTCAATACTGTTGTGTCGCTGGTGAACTGGCTGGCCAGGTCTCGCTTCCTTCTAAATATAGGAGCCTTCATAATTAGAATAGAGTTTGGGGTATAATATACTATAATTATAATAAGGAACCCCTAAAACCTATTCCAATTATTCAAGCCCCTACATTAGGTTGATGCTAATGAGTCTTTTTGACATGGTTGAGTGGCACTTGCGACAGGATCCTACGACCCCAAACCCTAAACCCCTAAACCCTAAACCCCAGTTCGCCGCTGGCAGCACAGTTCCCCGGCTCCCTCTGCTTGCAGCCCCGAGGCCGTGGTACATGGATTCATCTACGTTCCCTGGCCTTGTTCAGACGATACTGGCTGTTAGTTAGTGGTCCTTGTGTATGAAAACAGCGTAGGTATGGTGTTTTGTGTGTGTGTGTGTGGCCATTTATAGGTGTACTGAAATACCATCAGCAACATCATTGAAATTATCACTACATTGTCTGCTTAGAGGTGCGATGCCATTCGCAGTACAGCCGACATTTATGCTTATGCCAATTGAAGGAGTGTCCCATCATGGCTGTTCCTATTCTAGTCTAGTCAATTCACCTTGTTTTTACCTTCACTGTCATTGCTGGTCATGGCTGTCGAGCTTATCGTCAATACCATTTGCTATCCGTACGGTTGTCATGAGGTTGATAGGGCACGTGCTCGGACAGTTCAAGTTATGATGAACTCATCGTATCAGCCCCGAAACCCGAAGCCCCTACATCCGAACCCTTTTGAGCCTATGCGCCCTGACTTATAGGCCCTTAAAGACAAAACCCGTGAAAGTATAGTCCCCATATGCCCTATAAATGCCCGAAATCCGAAAACCGTAAGCCCTAACAGCTTCAAATCCCAAATCCTACAATTAAAACCTACTCTTCTACACTAAACTGTTTATACTCCTCAGGCCAAGCTCTGCCCCCAGCCAGGTCTGTGGGGGATGGGTCTACGGACATGAAGATCCCAGCGCGCGGGCACGCGCTTTGGGGTCGAGGGGTTCAGCGTTTTTAGGGTTTAGGGTTTAGGGTTTAGGTCGAGGGGTTCAGTGTTTATTTGTTTGGAGGCTGGGGTTTAGGATGTACCTGGACCCTGAAGAACCTACCTTTTTAAGGGCTTATACCAAGAAATCATAATAAGGAACCCCTAAACAGCTAGGTTCTTTGGGGTCCAGGTAGGTTTTTAGGGTGTTGAGGGTTTAGGGTTTTAACTAAGGTTTAGGGTTTAGGATCGAAGTTTTAGGGTTCAGGGTTCAGTTTAGGGTTCATAAATTGAAAAAATAGAGTTCTTTTGTTGTTCTTTAGCTCCATGCAGGGGTTTAGAGCTTTATGGGTTGAGGGTTTAGGGGTTCGGGTGCGGAGCTGTTCTTAGGGTACAGACCCGGTGGCGCGAATGGAGGAGCGCATGCAGAATGTCCGAGTGAAGGAGAGGAGTGGAGAGAGTGAGCGTAAGAATGCGGATGAGTGTGCGAAGAGAGTGAGTGGATGAAGGAGTGGTTTGGCATCTGGCATACCCTAGGGCTCCAGTTACCTAAATAGTAGGTTACTAACCATATATTATGTACCC